TTTATCTTCCATTAGAATCAACCATTCTTACAGATCCATCAGTAATATTTGACAGATCATCTCATTGTGTTTCACTGTTTGCTGCGATCAAAACAAGATCTTCAGTTTTGGCGCATCAAAAATGATTAAAAACTTGTTTTCTTTGTACAAATGAAACTCTTTTGAGACTTTTCTTCTGAATATGCAACATGAATGATTGGCATAGTTGGAGCAAAGCCTCATTCCAGAGCATATTTTACCTTATAAATCGGAGGATGTACAGTATATGCATTTCTTCAACTGCTCAACTTGCTCATAGGTTTGTAATAATTCCAATCCATCACGATTTAAATTACAGGTCTCAGAAATATGAAAACATACAGAAATGTATTACTTCCATTACACTGTTACAATATGTTCACCACTCTGCAACCTTTCTGTTAATTTGACCACTAGTACAAAGAGCTTCTGTGTATTTGCACACAGATGACAGTTCATCATTTGCTGTGAGCAATTTCCCTATTATTACAGCTTGGAACCTCAGCGTAAAAGGTCAATATTTACCTCACACCCACACGTGCTTGTGCACACACACACACACTCCCTGGCCTATCCACACTAACGGAAATAGAAACGGTGGAAAAGTACACTAAGTCGAGCCTTTTTATGGGAGAAATGAAAATGAAAATTTTGAGGTGTGAAATTCTGCATGCTGCACCTTGAGTTGCCGTTTCACCCCAACGTGATTCAACATCTTTTTTTTAAATTACGTCTCTCTGTAAGGAGAGGGCCCTCCGCCTCCATCTCTCCATGCTCGCTTTAACGTATGGGAAGATGATATCTCAGCCGGCTCCTGTTAAGAAGTAATATATGCTTTTCAAGCGCCGTGACCTCTACTGCGAGCCGTCTCTCTGCCGTGAGGTCACTTCTTCTAGCTGTTAAAAACAAGAATAATCTGAATGTAAACTTGATCATCTAAGGCTTTTTTTTGTATCTGTTATCCTTCCTGTTACACCCTGACGTTCAGCTGTGTGCCACTCAAGTGCATCAATCTTTCCTCTGCCTCTCGGCCAGCTCTATCAGTGTTTACTGACGGCACACATCATTTCCCATAAAACCAACAGCAGACAGTGACGCACAGCCCGCGGCGCAGCGGACCGCGCTCCATCCCCGCGACTAATCAGTGGGTTGATAACGCGGTGGAAGCGAAAGGCCCGCGTCTCATTGGGAGACCAGAGGGTGGCGTCTCCGAGGGGCGGGCGGTGGGCGGCGCGCTAAGCTGGAAGCACTCGACACAAGTCCGGGGCCTAATCGTCTCATTGTTTCCGTTCTGCTTGAGAGGATCAGCAGCCGTGCTAAGCTCCTCTGGGTACCGGCCCTCAGCTGCTCTCTGCCATCTTGCTTTGTTGTTGTTGTTGTTGTTGTTGTTGTCGTTGTTTGCGATCGCCGAGCAGAGCCAATTTATTTCGGTGGCATTGTTTGGTTTGTTTTATTTTGTCGACCTTTCAACATGGTTTTCAGTTAATCATTGTTTCTTCTTTGTCTTTAGTGCTCTCTGTTGTTCATGAGGTGCTGTTATGAGAAATGAGCACAGCCTGTCAGTATTTTCTTGTCGGTAGTAATTCACGTCTTTATTTCTAACAGAGTTTATTATTGCAGCAGTGGGAGAAGTATTCTGATCCTTTGACGCAAATCAAAATAGGCTTTTAATGTGAAGCAACAGCAGTGGTGGCAAGTGGCTCGTTGTCAGGTTCATGCTTGTTTGTGGGCTTTCTACTAGAACGTGCTTTAATGTTCAAAACAACACATTATTGTTCTCACATTGTCTGACTGAAGATATCTGTGTTCATCCTCCCCGTTGTAGCGCCTGTCTCTTTAAGCCTTTGCGAAGATACTTCTTGTCTGATTTCACAGTTTGGGGATTGGTCGGTACTGCAGATACCCAGATGTACTGTATGTGCAGAAAGTAACATTATTTTAAAAAATAACTTCAAAAATGTACTCCGTACTTCAGTAAATGTAGTTACTTTCCATCACTGATTAGACAAATTTAACTTAATCCAACAAGCAAAGAGTGAGGAAACCTCTCAGCCTCTCTTGGTGACGTTGACCTGTTGCTCTTTCTTTTAGTTCGACATGATAACAGTAGTCTAACACAAGTCGGTGTTTGCCCCGCCATGCCACTATGAGTAAGCCTCTGCCTTCGCACCATCAGCCCGCGTCTGTGCGGAAGCATTTGCCATCTGTCCATAATCTCGCATAGGATGTCATGGATTTGTCGAGGCTCTTCGCATGTATATTCTGGACGCAGAACAATACATGGAATACAAGACGTGATGTTGTCATTCAGCGCCGGCTCTGTTTGTCTGCAGACGGGTTGTAAACAAAATAACTCAGGAAAAGCAAGTCGAGGAAATGTTATACGTATACCACATGTTCTCCCAGGAGAGCTGATGATGTTATTATTTTATTTGCTGCATAACATTTGCATTTTTTTAATGAGATAAATTATAGAGGCTAGCTGTGTGGTGTAAGCTTTAAAAGCAGTTCATCCCACACGGGATGAACTGCCCATCTGTGGGCATTGCATGCTACACTTTTATTGTGGCAGCAACAGGACAAAGCCAGAGGCAGAGAGAGAGAGAGACAGGAAGAGAGAGAGGGAAGGCTTGTCACCCCCGAGGGCCTCGGTCCTATCTGTCACTGTGCCAGAACGATTCGCCCTGTAAGTGATCCATGGACACCGAGTCTACAGGTCAACTGTGACAGCCTGCCTGGTGTGCGTGTTTGTGTCTTACGTAGGTGCGGGTGGGTACATCAGTGCATCTGCAGTCTGTCTCCCATGATGCCAGTGGCTGTCAGTCTCCATCTCCTGATTCACTGTGTGTGTGTGTGTGTGTGTGCCACTAATGAAATGAGATGCAGGTAGAGATGTGACGAAGGGCATCACGGGGTTAGAGATGCACAAGAGCAATATGTTGCCATGGCAACAGTCAATGACACTTTGTCCACGTGAGAGTGGCTCACGTGGGGGAGGGGAGGGGAGAGGAGAGGAGAGGAGGAAACAAGTTGAAGGGAAGCAGTTGCCATAGCGACTCTCCATTGCAGCTGCCTGTAAATCCCCCCCCAAGTGTGAGAGTGTCTGCCTGACTTTAGCTGTGCCTATGTATTAAGTATGACTGTGTGCGTGACCCTAGTGCATCGCTGGTGTTTTAGGGCTGAAACATTTGATGCATGTTTCAGCAGGTATTTCACATATCTCTTCTGTGTGTGTGTGTGTGTGTGTGTGTGTGTGTGTGTGTGTGTGTGTTTTTGTATATAAATACCAAAGCAGGTTTCACAGGAAGCCAGACACCCTCCATCTCTCTTCCCTTCTAACAGCAGCTGTCGTGGTTATTTATGTGGTTGTTCTGCACTACTACTCTTTCATATCCCCAGGCCTACACACACGCACACACACACACACACACACACACACAGAGAAGCCAACAGGCGCTGTCACTGTGCCACAGTTCTAAGTCTTGTGCGCCATATGCTACCGTAGGCTCCTGGCAGGAGCAGGAGTATCGTAGCTCTCAGTCACCATGGTAGACTGGTTCAAAGGCCAACGAGGACCCATCGGGGACCAGGCTGCATGCACACAGCACTGTGGTGGCAGACATATGTTGAAGCATCTGACATTGACTCTGAAGTGTTCCGCATGCATTTTGAAAGAACGATGCTAGAATGTATCATCGTGGTTTGACTCTTTTCAATCATATTCAAGAATAATGCATAACTTTTGATGCATCTAAAAAGCAGAATGACTCAATGATGTCAAGAAAAGGGAAATCACAATCTAAGACTCCCAATACTCTTTTGGGTAAAAGTACTTGCCATTGTGTGTTTCACAAGAACCAATCCCAAACCTAAACTATGTGTCATGTATCCCAATGATAGAAATTACATTATCACATGGAACTTTTCAGTTCTCTTTCCATTATTTGTTTTGACCTCAAGGCAGTATCCACCAACAATTTGTGCCAGTGCGAAAAGAAAAAGATGGCATCAAAGAAAGCGGTGTTTGCTAGCGATTCCCCATGGGGTAATCGACCCAGAAATAGGTTGATGTAGCCGTCCCTGCAGCTCAGGGCGAGTTGCGATTTGCATTTATGGGAGTTCCAAGTTCCAATGTGCAAAATAAAATGAGGAAATTATGGAAATTCATAGCAGACATGATATATTAAGAGCCAGTGGCCATTTATTATCTGTTGGTTTCACACAGGACGTTCTTTAGACCCCGGCTATTCTCTTTGCAGACTTGGCTTTAATGTACAGTAACTCCTCACGTCCTAATGGGGCTTTTTTTTACCAGTAAATTGCCCTTGTGCTGCCCAGTTGCCTTCAGTTTGTTTGTCGTCCCAGAGCTCCGTCGTTTTACACAGCCTTTTAAAACATCTTTTTGTTTGGCGTGGACACCAACACTTTGAGCTCTCCCAGTTTTAGTCTTTAGTCTCTTTAGTCTTGCGTTTTGTCCACACATTTGTAAATTCTTTTGAAATATTTCTGCCAACCAATTGCACTCAACCTTTGCATCAGTGTTGGTCAATCTGGGCCTCAGTGTGACATAAAGACCGTCGGAGGTGGGCTAACTCTGATATGCTGCGCTACCTCAGTGATTGTCTTCAAACATTATTGCTTTAATTCCCAGGAAACATTTGATCAGACTCTTGTAGTGGCGTCTCTTGTTATCGCCCGTTACTGGAATCCTCGGGGAACAGAGCCGTTCTTAAGCTCCGATATAAAACTATTCTCATCCAGCCGAACAGTTTGTTCAGTATATTATGGTCCAACAATATATGATCAAAGAGAATATGAGAGGTGTAAATACAGTTATTGACTTTTGTTGCTCTCTTTTCTCCTCTCTCTGTGTGTGTGTGTGTGTGTGTGTGTGTGTGTGTGTGTGTGTGTGTGT